CCCTGGGTTTGTTAACACCACTACCTTTCTTTCCCCCCACCTCCCCCTCTCCCATGTCCCCCCGGAACTGTCGGTCCCATTGTTTTCGCCTCCAGATTGTTCATCCAGCCTATCTTATTTAAACAGACCTGCGGAGATAATAACATGCACAAAAACAAGACAGAGCAAAACCAAGCAACAATAAATAACAGCAAAAGCAAACCACTGACAGAGAACAAAACAAAACACAACAAGAAAGAAAAGCTTGCAGTTAGTTCAAGGATTGTTTGTTGGCCTTTAGGAGTATTTTCCAGTCCAGTCTGTTGGGACACCACGCTCTGGCCCCAAAGTCCACCGTCAGCATTCCCTGGGGACCTTGCCACTCCATTCCTTTGCTGTTCCATTGCACAACCCCAGTGCTTTACCTCAGCGTGGGGGGACCAGATCGGGAGCAATTCTCACACTGTCTCCGGTGCTGTCCCCCGCAGCAAGGGCCATCAAGTCTCATAGTGGGGCTGGCCATGTGGTCCTCTCTGTGGACTGGCTGTTCTAATTGGGATCATCGTCCTCAAGGCCTGGTGGGCCAGGATGTGTTCCACTCTCTCCTACTTCCCCCTTTATCTGCTCCGATGTGCTCCGATCAGATATGTGGTCTGGGCCTTTTTGTAATTGAGTTGTGGTCCACATTTCTCTTCTACTCTACCCATGACCTTCTAATGTGACCAAAGCAGTTAATACTGATAGCTTGGCACTATCTAGTTCTTCTGGTCTTATGGTTGTGGAGACTGATATTTGCATGGTCCATTAATCCATTAGACTTTTGTAGTGTCTTTCGATTTTTATTAGTCTTTACGCTACTTTCTCTCTCTCTCTTTTTTTAATTGTTTTATTAGGGGCTCATACAACTCTTATCTACTTTTTCTTTTACTTCTTAGATTTGATGGTTATATAAGTACCTTGTGGGTTGATCATTTACATTTCTTAATGTTTAATAATATAACCAGCCTTACTATATTTGTTGTTGGCTTTTTCCAGGCTGGATTTTGATGATGATGTAGAAGGGAACAGTAAATTCTTGAGGTAAGATTTTTAAAAACTTTCTATAGATATCTGATATTAAATATTAGGTTGTGAACTTTATACTTTTGCCTTATAATGTGTGCATTCTTAGGCCTAAGGAGAATATGTCACCTTAAAACTACAAAATTTTATATTACATTTTATCTCAGAAAAAATTTCAAGCATTCTGTTAACAATTCCAAAGTTAGAGCCTCAGTGAATTAGGACAGAGAAGTTACAAGACTCTTTGTATCAGTTATCTTTTGCTGTGTAACAATAGTGGCCTAACAAGAACAATTGTTTTTCACATTTCTATGGATTGGGAATGCTATTTATTCTATTGAATTTTGCCTACCAACAAAGCTGTGATATTTAATTAGCTGGTTGGGGACTGGACTCAGCTGGGATGGCTGAGTAACTCTCTTTTTCTCTGTTTATAGTGGTCAAGGATCCCAGACTAGGTATTTTCAGATGGTGATGGTTATAATCCAAAGGGCATGTTCCAATGTGCAAGTGCTTATCAAACCACTGCATTTACATCGTATTTGGTAACATCTCATTGGCCACAGAAAGTCATGTCCAAATCCTGAAGCAAGGTGGTGGTTACTGCAAAAGGAATTTTATATTGTGAGGCCTTCTTAGTTGGGGGATGAGGAAACGGTGTGGTAGTTATATCTGACCTCCTCTAGGCTACCCAAGGGGGAAGGAGGATCCAAGTCAGCAGCCCAAGGCTGATTTTTCTGAGGCAGAGGTCAAGTATGCTTTTACCTTCCAGTCTTCTTTACCCTGTTCAAGCACCAGTTCTCCATGCCACTCCACCTCTCTGCTAGGCTCAGTAATCCGTTGCATTGGACCGATAGGAGTCACAGACAGTACTCATGCTTATGGGATTTATTTGACAAGTAAAAAGATGATCACAAGGCAGGATCAGAAAAATTATAAGCATTGAAAAATGGCTGCTGTGTAATATTTTTTAAAACCTGTGCTTTTTGGTCAGCATATGTTTCCTTTAATTATTTTTGCATTTCAAGTAGTATATCATTTTGAGGTTTAATTTTTCAGGCTGGTATAAAGCTTCACAATTTAGTAATCCTGGATTCTGAGCCATATTTTAGATGAAAGTAGAAATGTGAAGTCTTTACAAAGTTGATTTTCTTCTGAAATAGCCAGTTCATCATTGTCATCATCATCAATATCTGTTGATCCTTTCTGAGTTGACAGGTAGATAGCTGGCCTGTCCCAGATACACATTTAACTGACAGTGATCTCTGAAGAGGCGACTTTGAATTTGCCTTTATAGTATCTAAACGAGATGAATAATCTGGTAGATACAGAGCGGTCTGGGAAACCTCTAAATTTTCTTCCTCATCATTTTTGGTATATTTTGGTGCAGTGGTATTGACCTCTAAAGCTTTCCCATGAAATAACATTTCAATAGTGATAAATTCTGAAAATATATTCTTTATGCCTTTTATTTTGTTTTTCAAAGTTGTCCATAGTTTCTTCCTGATGATGAGTTGCTGGGGTAGCGTCCATTGTCACTCTGTAATTCCGTTTCTTCCTGTGAAATAATATGTCTATCAGATGGAGTTCCCTGACATGTCCTTTCTAACTGGGTTAACTGCTTAGCTTCTCAATTTCTTGCTGTTAATGTTGCTTTAAGGTCCTCGCACTCCATTTTTACAATGGTTCCATAAACTTTCAAAGGTTCAACTACTTTGGCTTCAAGTCTTTCAATCTCTGCCTGGCGATAATCCTGAAGTTTGGCAAACTCATCAGGAAAGATTTTCAGGCCATGCTTTATATTGTGGATCTCTGTAGAGGCATACGCATTGATTTCATTCACCAGGAGGTCAACTTTGTCTCGCAGTCTGGCTGTTTTCTGAACATAAAGCAGCAAAGATTTGATGCATCTCTCTAAAATGCTTCTCCACGGTTGTGAAAGCATCTTGCAGTACGTATTCTGGTTTGAGCATCCAGGCTCTCCTGGCTGCACCTCAACTTGTTACCACACATGGCCCAGGACCCTGGGTGGGGAACCAGTGGAAGGGTTCTGAGCTACCCAAGTGTGGGTTGAGGTGGGAGCTGCCACCAACGTCACCAGGCAGGATAGGAGTTCTGTTGTCTGCAGCAGCACCCCTTCTCAGCCATACTGGAAGGCACATCTCTCTCTGTTTCTCCATCATACAGTCCTCTGTCTTCTGTCTTGCTCGGGCAAGTGTTATAAAGCTCCTTTAGTGTTGATAAATGCCCAAAGGGTACCCTACTCTGCAAGCAAGCCTCCTTGCCAAGCAGTCAGCTTTACTAGTTCCATCTAGTCGTCTAGGTAAGTGTTTACCAAAGTGTGCATTACCATCTCCTAAGGGATGCTGGAATGATCTAGGGGGACTGCAAAAGCAGATACTTATACTTTATCCTGTATTATGTGCTATAGTACAAAAATTGCTGGTGGGTGGGTAGGCTAGTGTGAGTAACTTTTTTTCTGAAATGAGAGCAGTAGGTTAGATCCGTTTGGGAACCTGTGGTCTATGGTTTGGCTTCTGGTGCCTTTGTCACTTCACACAGCTCTCAGGTCTTATACTCATTCCCCTGGTGGCACTTTTGTCTTGATGGTTGTGGGATTGTCTGTTCCAGCTTCTGAGACGGCTTACTTTATACCCAGTGGAACAGGAAAGCTTATCAATCCCTGGGATTTAGAGTCCTCTACACCTTATTTTCGTGGCCCACCCAGTCATTTGGTAGGAGTTACAAAGACTATGGACAGAAAAGCCGTACCAAGAAATTTCACTTCACCACAGTGAGTGGGCCATTAATATACAAAACCTATCATATCCTCTGATACCTGTTAATTCCTTTAGAATAAGAGTTGAAATTTGCATCATTGAATAATGAATCTTCTGGGGAATTAAAGATGACTTTTTAATATATTAAGGTCTTTTTTCTGAGATGAGGGATAATCTCACTGAAGATTTATATTACTTGGCTTGTTTTTAAATAAAATTAGACTGCCAGGTTATGTACATCTTAGTCTTGAAGCTCCACTGAAAGCTATTCAGCCTCATAGCACCATACAAACCGTCACTGAAAGACAGTGGTGGTTATGCATCATTCAGGCCCGTTGTTTGGGACTTGACCCTGGCTCTCCTGCAAAGAAGACAAGAATTGTACCACTGAATCACCAATTCCCCTTATTAATAGCTAGAATAATGCTCTTCAAACTTAATGCGCATACAAATCCACTTAGGGTTCTTGATAACAAGATTCTGATTCAGGGAACCTAGGATAAGGCTCCAGGTTTTGCATTTCTAAGGAGCCCTGTGGGCATAATGAGTTATACTTTGGGCTCCCAACCATAAGTTAAGCTGTTCGAACCCACTAGCTGCTGAAAAGGAGAAAGATGAGATTTTTTGCTCACGTAAAGATTTACACCCTTGGAAACCTTCTATAGGCTTGCTGAGTCAGAATCTATTCGACAGCCATGTTTTTTGTTAGTTTGTATGTTTCAAAATAAGTCTCTAGCTGTTACTGCTACACCTTGAGTAGCAAATATCTAGAACCTTCATTCCTGAGATTCAAGATTTAATGTGTAAATTATGAGCCTCTTATTTCAGCTTAAGTTATGTTTTCTCATTAGGAGTTTATAGTATACGATTTATCGTATAGTTTGTGTCCTAGAAACCTACCATTTTCCTTTGAGCTGAACTTTCATCATATCTTTGTATTTTCCTATTCTTCTTCAGTTCTTTAGTTATTTTCAGAAACCAGTAAAATAGTATTTCTGGAGTTAGGCCTTCCTCCCTGAACATATCCTTCTTCATAGTTTATGGAGTAGTAGCCTATTTACCTGTTAAGTAGAAATTGTTTGGAGGAGTGGATTGCATTTCCTTGATCAAAGAGATAAATGATTTTGTTTAAATTGTCATTTAAAATTAATTAAAATTTAAAATTTTGAAACTCCCTAATTTCAGTGTGGTGCAGATAGGACAATCAGTGTGTCCTCATGAAGTGTCATCATGTCTGATAAGAAAGGGTAATAGAGGCATCAGAAAACCTGATAAACAATAGTTATAGGCTTTTAAAGTTCTTTTTAAAAAATGTATTATTTTTTAAGCTTTTAAAGTTCTGTGGGATGCTATTATATCTTTATTGTCTGTAATGGTTTTCCATTGCCCCACCCCCACCACTTCCACTTTTTTGGTTATTTTAATCTTTTTCTAGTTTTCTTTTCAGAGGGAATTGATATAACAAGGTACTACTTTAAATTTACTCCTTTCTGCTTCCTCAGGTGTGATGACGATCAGATGTCTAACGATAAGGAGCGGTTTGCCAGGTAATGTAGCAGAGCTTCTTGGACCACCTTGTTGGACTAGGCATTTTGAGAATATTGAATGTTAATTTTATCAGGAACAAAAGTGAATTTCTTTGTCCAGTCTCTTTCCTATACTGAAAACTGATGAAACTTCGTTTTACATTATGTTCAAATAATATGATTTCAAAATGGAAGTCTAAAGCCCATCTGAAATCTGTTCAGCAACATACAAATAGCATGTATTAGGGCAAATCAAGAAAGCATTGCTTATAGTGTTCATACTTGCTTGGATTTATTCTAAACAAAATGTTTTCAAACATTTCCTTGTGATCAGTGGATGGCTACAGACAAATTGTTCCAGTAATACACATGTCTTCGTTTCATTAGAGTGCCTTCAAAAATGTACAGTCAAAACAAGAATGAAGAAAATTTTCTAAAATTGTGGTGATGATTGTACAAGTAAAGATGGAGAGGTCATTTAATAAGAAGTATAACCAGGAAATCCTTGTGATTTCTGTACCTAGGGCCACCAGAAAGCACCTGTTATAGCTTATCTATCACATATTTTCTATATATTACTTAAGTCATTGTTCTTAGTCATTTCAGTAGCAGAATAATCTGCCTATCAAAGCCCGAGACCTTGCTAATGTTCATAGTTTGAACTTAAATATTTTTGGAAGTAAAAAAGTATTACTACTAAGGTTTTAATTCATACATGCATGGGTTTATCCAAACAAAATGTATTGGAATATGGCTCTGTGATCAGTGGATATCTGCAGTAATGTTCTTGTCATAGACTGTTAGGTGACTTGAGGGGATCTGCTGTACCATTTCAATTCAAGGCAAAGAGGTCTCATTTCAGAAGGCAAATGTTTTGGGGCATCCCAATGGAGTAACATTTTTTTTTTCTTTTTCAAAAGACAGGGAGATTATGAAGGCTTATTTGAAAGATGTTTTAGGAAATTTGAAAACTACATTAGTGAGAAAGAGGCCAGGACCACTGCACAGTAGAATTGTTTTCCATCACAGCAATGTACCTGCTCATCTTTTGAGAATATCAAGGGCTTCCCCTAGGAGAGTTTTGCTGGGAAGCTTCCCCATCCACCCCTCAGGCCTCATCTTGCCCCTTCTGGCACTTTGTTTTCAACACTCAAATGCATTTCAAAGGCACATAATTTGAATTCATTAATGCCAGAACTGCCCTTTGGGTGCATTGTAAATTGAAGAGTGAAGAATTCTTCAGAGAAGGGTTAAGAGAGGGATGGTAACAACACTTCAGAAGGCTCTAGACCCAAGTGGAGGATATGCTGAGAAACAATAGTTTCACGTGTTGTTAATTTTGTTTAACACATAATTCTATGATGTCATAGCAATAAAATTGACATACACATTCAGCTAGGCATCACTTAACGTCCATGACACAGTCTGTGAAGTAGGACATTATGTGATTTGGATGTTGTACAAACACCTGTGGGAGTCTGCTTCTAGTTGTCTTCATTACCACTCCTACCACTGGTGCTCTCTCTGACACTGCTGGTGGAGCCCTGAGGAACTGGTGGCTGGCAGTGTAGTGGTTCTCAACCTTCTTAATGCTGCGACCCTTTCATACAGTTCCTCATGTTGTGGTGACCCCTCCAACCATAAAATTATTTTTGTTGCTACTTCATAACTGTAATTTTGCTACTGTTATGAATCGGGCGACCTCTGGGAAAGGGCCATTTCACCCCCAAAGGGGACACGACCCACAGGTTGAGAACCATTGCAGTAGGCAATAGTGGCATCTGAAGAGTGGGGGTGGAAGAGTGAGAGTGGAAGCAAAGCAAGAGGAAAAGAACCAGCGGGGAGTGAAGTGCCCTTAGACCCATCCACTATTCTGCTGAGCAGTAGGAGTAGCCTGGGTCTTGCATATGCCAGTGCTGCTACTGCCATCTACACATCAAAACCTGAGAGCCCAGGCTCAGACCCATTTCCTCTGCCTCATCTGCCAGTATCCATCTCATGGTCTATTACTACAAGAATGTGAGTTTGGGGTCTTTATACCATTGTGGGAAATTAACAAAAGGAGAGCAACTTTTTTGGTCATGCAATGGAAGCAGTAGTTCATGGAGGAAACTAGACCTGCACTTCAGTTCTGTCTCAGACCTACATCTCCTTTCTCTTCTCCAGGCAACTGTTGACCAGTTATTATAACTTGGATAGCCATTTGGAAGCTTTTAAGACCTCAAATACTACCAATTTTACTGGGAGGTAGGGGTGGAGATAAAACAGAAACTCTAAGAAGCAAAGACCTGGTTCTTAGTTTTATTTATGTAATTTGCCTTGTGAAACTTTGTCTTGAGTTTGTGTATGACTTTGTGATTATTTCTTTGATACACTTAGTATGATTTGCTCTAGCTTTGAGTTCCTTCTTTCTTTTTTAAAAAAATACCCACACGTGGATATCATTTTCTTTCCAGATTGGGAGCAATTTGTTCTTGGTTGGTTCTTATTAAATTTTGTATATCCTTCATCTTTACAGAGATTGATTGATTAGCCAAATGCTTTTTGTGTTCAGATCATGGCAATGTAGCATAAATATTAGCCTTGTTTTTATGTTGGCCTTTACCCTGTAAATTACTTTTTCTTTATCCTAACAGGTGACTTGTAAAGCTACAGCAAGGTTCTCGCCCATTTCCGTTCCCCTTCCCTTTCATAACTGCCTTTTTCCAATTTTCTTCTCTTTTTTCCCCCCTCCTTTCTTTTCTATTTTAATGGTAGCTTAGTTCATTAATTCTGTTTTTAGGTCGGATGATGAGCAGAGTTCTGCGGATAAAGAGAGACTCGCCAGGTAGGAGAACAGTATGTTTTAGCATGATGAAGCAGTGATGCTGCTTTCTCCATCCTTTTTCTTCCTCTGCTTGTTCTCTTCTCCCTTTTCTTTGTTTGTCTTTATCTGTGTCAGGGGAGATCTGTTCTAGTGTGTGTAATATGAGCTCTAGCTTCTCCCATCAGAAAATGGTGCAGTAGCTTTCTCTTGATTTCAGGACAGAAATGTCACATAGCAGAAAGCTTTCAGAAACAATGTAGCTTGGCCAGTTTGTGGTCTGACAAGAAAAACTCTTGTCAGAAAACTAACGTGTACATCTTTGTGCATGATGGGTTTCCAGTATTTACATCTTAGATTTTACTCGGTATCTCCAGAAGACTCACTCTTGGCTTTTTATGTAGCCACATTGGCATTACTTGTCATAACAGCTCTTATTTTGGGTTGGTGATTGAATTATCTTGTGATTGCCCAGGCTGTGGAGAAAATTAACCTTCTGGCCTTGAGTGTCAGAAATCTTTCAGAGACTAGGAAAATGGGCACCTGAATGTGTCTCAGGCAAAGTAATTATATACTGACTTTCTGCTGTTTGGAAAGGAGACTCGAGATCTTTTTTCAGAGTGTTGTTGGTAACGTAAGAAAGACTGCAAGAGAAGTATTGTTCCCAATACTTTGTGTTTTGTGACTTAAATGTGTTAAAAGGTCCATCAGTAATGCTGCTAACTGCAAGGCCAACAGTGTGAACACACCAGGTGTTCATTGGGAGAAAGATGGACTGGGTACTTCCGTGAAGATTTAAAATCTGAAAAACCCAAAGAGGCAGTTCTACTTTCTCCTGTAGGGTCACTATGAGTTGGAATCAATCACTTAACCTCTCAGTTGAGCGATAAGCTCTTACTATTAGGGAGCCATGGGGGCAGGTGGGCTACACATGGATTGCTACCTGCAAAGTAAGGGGTCAAAGTGAGCAACTGATCTGCAGGAGAAGAGTTTGATATGCTCCTGTAAATATTTGAAGTCTTGGAAACACAAAGGACCAGTCCCACTCTTTTCTATCAAGTCACTATAGCCGATGGCAGTGGGTTTGGTTTGATTTCCTACTAATCTTTTCATTCTTAGGCAAAAAAATGACATGGTGTAATGGGGAAGTGCACTGAATTGGGAAAGAGCAACCTTTGGAAAAGTGACTTACTTATTTGACATCATTTTTTCTAAATATGGGTTTATAGCTAGCACATTAGTAGTTCTTTTGCCACAGAACTTTCATTAAAACAGAATTCTTATGTAAAAATGGAAGTAGATAAAAGGATTAAGTAGACATAGAAAAGATGGCCTTTTGTTTAGCTTTCTTCTTGAGGCATCCTCAAGGAGGAAATAGAAACCTACAGCGTTAAAAAAAATCCAGTTTGAAAATCACTAGATTTTAATATTATTATATTAATGATGTTATTCTCTCTCAGTGTTTAGAAAGTCAGTGTTGGAGATGTGGTCTGTTTGGCCTGGTTCGATTTAAATTGTCTATTATCATACTTTTACCATTCCACCCATTTTACTTTGTTCCAGATTGGGGACCCTTAGGGATATTTAGTAGATGGCATCTTGCAGCCTCTTGAGAATTTCAGTGCACTGGCACGAGACCCCGAGACCCATTCTATAAAGTAGTCTTTTGTGAAATAGTGGAATAAGGAAAACTTCAGAATCTTCCAATTTTGGCTTCTGTTGGGAGTAATGGAGAAGCATAGAAGGAAGTAATGTTTTACAAATCAGTGGAATCTTATATCAGCTGCTGGTCATAATTGTTTAGGAAAAAAATCAGCCATGATTCTGTAAAGCATAAATTAATTGAAATATTGAATTTGTCAACATGGAGTTAACCAAACTGAGATTATTTGTTTCTTATAATATAAATGAGTGAAATCAATACTTCTTAGTGCTACCATTTCTTAAAGCCTTTTTGGTTGTAAACTGTGCTAATTTCCATAGGAAGTGACATTTCTGGGAGCTAACGGGAAGTGCTGGCATCTGCTTGTTTTCTGTTTGCCTTGTTAGTTTCTTTTCCATGCTTGCTCTGCATGAGAAAGTTAGCAAACCGGTTGTATTCTAACTTCTGAGAGTAAATTCAGTAAATCTGAATACCACATTTCTTAGCTTACTGGTGTCCGTATCATTCTTCCTGCTAACAAATGACCAGATGTGACCACCTGGATGGGGCTTTTCCTCTCTCTCCATGCAGGGAAAATCATAGTGAAATTGAACGACGGCGACGAAACAAGATGACAGCATACATCACAGAACTGTCAGACATGGTACCCACCTGTAGTGCCCTGGCTCGAAAACCTGACAAGCTAACCATCTTACGCATGGCAGTTTCTCATATGAAGTCCTTGCGGGGAACTGGCAACACATCCACTGATGGAACCTACAAGCCATCTTTCCTCACTGATCAGGTCTCTGGGACCCACAACTCCTAAGGGATTCTAGAATGTGGGCGATTCTGTTATAAGTTTTTTTTTTTTAATATGGATGACTAATCCTGAGTAGCGGAGGTCAGCGTAGAACTTAATTTGTAGACTCTTTAAAGAACAAGAATTCACTTCTTCAGGAAAAACCCTAATTATGGGAAAGTGAGTTTCTTTAAAAATGGATGATTGATTCCTTTTGCTTAATCCCTGGTTATGTAGCCTCATTGGCATTGCTTATGAGATGTAGAGACTGATGAAAACGATTTAGCAAGATGGAAAGTATTTTAGAATTTGACTCATGAATGTAGGCACAAGATGGAAGAGGATCAGAATCACAGGGAGAGAGCATGACTGAGGGAATTTTTGGTAACAGCTTTGATTTTTTTTCTTTTATACCATCATCAGAGTATTAGCGAGTAAGTGCCTAGTCCCTAGAACTTAACCTCTTATTAAGCTTTAAGGCAACTGAGGGTGTGGAAGATATCTATTTCTTAATCAGGGCCTCCTAAGTTCTACCCAGCTTTCAATTTTAGTGACAAAAGATGTCAAACAAGCAGTTGTTGTTGATCAGGGCCTAATCTATTACATGCGATGCACTGTGAGAAATACAGGGAGGACAGAAACATTTCCTGCCTTTAAGGAATTTAGTGTGAATATTGTATGTGAATGACAGAATAAACACATAGGTGAAAAATGATAGGAAAATGAATATATAGAAATTCTTTAAAAGTATTAATAATTTACAGGGATTTGATAGATATGTATCAGAAGGAATAGATAAAGAATGGACTGACCAAGCTAGATAAAGATGATCGGGGAAGATTTCTAGGAGTGAAAGCACCATGCTCTTATTTTGATGATTAGAAATCACAAATGCACACATGCTCATTGCAGGAAAATTTGGAAAATACAAGAGTATAAGGAAGAAAATAAACCTACTTATAATCTTAGCATTTTAATCAAAGGATTAAGCGGAAGGAAATAATGTAATTTAGAGGGAAAGAATAAGAAAATTTCCCAAGTAGGATGAATTATATGAAATCACAGCACAGATTTTATAAATATGTACGCGGAAATAGTCAACTTATTCCAAAGTACACATGCAGATACTGATTTGAAAAACCGTAGTTAAAACACCTTTTGTAGTTAAAGCAGGTGGTATGTTCTATGAAGAATATAAAGAATGGTGAGAGAGAATTACTGGTGGAAACAAATGGAAATAAAATAACAGTACAAACACAATCAGTTCTAGAGTGGACGTGCAGTATGAACAGCCATAGAAAATAAGGGTTTGGGGAAGGTAGTGTAGATTTTGATAAATGTGGGAAACAGAAACAAACAGGTAGGAGAGTAAGTAGATAATTTTTTAAAAGTATAGTTTAGTATACTTTGGAAGGTGATAAGGAAAGCTGGGGCCTTATGGAATGGTTGAGTGTTATGTTAAAGAGTTTAGATTTTAGCCCTTTCCCCCCACTTTATCTTCCTTCTTGTCTCTCTCCTGCCTGTCTGCCGGACTGCCTCTTCTAGCCAGGAGCCTGCCACACTTTTTCCTTTAGCTTGGAGCTTTCCTCAGTATTTCTGGCTACGCTAGCATGTTGGCCCAACCCAGCGCAGGTTCCTGCGGTGTTGCCAGTTTGGCTGGTATCCTGGCAGCATTGGTCCCTCTACTTTCTGGTCTGGCCCCGCAGCCTGCAGCGTGAGCACTATGCTCATCTACTCCTTTTTCAAGTCCCTTGTGGGAGAGGATGTGGTCATGGAACTACAGAATGACCTGACCACCTGTGGAAAGCTTCATTCAGTGGATCAGTATCTCAAATTAGACGTCACAGACCCTGAGAAACACCCTCATGTTATCAGTGAAGAACAGCTTTGTCCAAGGTGCAGTAGTCTGCTGTGTGCAGTTGCCACACAGAGGACTGTGTTGCTCCAGGATGCAGCCGGGAAGGAGGCCCTGCAGCAGAAACAGTGATGGCTCCTCCTCTGCTTCCCTTCCTTCCCTCTTCCATTGGTGACCCTTCACCTCCTAATCCAGTGCACTTTGCACACCCCACCCATAGGTTTTTGTTGGTTTGATTTTTAATAGTGAAGACTTTTGGGTTTTGTTTTGTTTTTTTAATCCTTTTATTGGGGGCTCATACAACTCTTATCACAATCCATCCATACATCAATTGTATAAAGCACATTTGTACATTTGTTACCCTCATCATGCTCAAAACATTTGCTCTCCATGTAAGCCCCTGGCATCAGCTCCTCATTTTCCCCTCTCCCTCCCCGCTCCCCCTCCCTCAAGAACCCTCGATAATTTATAAATTATTATTTTGTCATATCTTACACTGTCCGATGTCTCCCTTCACCCACTTTTCTGTTGTCCGTCCCCCAGGGAGGGGGTCATATGTAGATTCTTGTAATCGGTTCCCCCTCTCTACTCCTCCTTTCCTCGACCCTCCTGGAATCGTCACTCTCACCACTGGTCCTGAAGGGATCATCCGTCCTAGATTCCCTGTGTTTCCAGTTCCTATCTGTACCAGTGTATATCCTCTGGTCTAGCCAGATTTTTGGGGTTTTTAAAAGGATGAGTGGATGAGGGCAATAAGAGTAGGGAGCAGTGTCCTCTGTTGAGACTGACTCATTGCCATCGAGTCTAAAAGGGAGGATAAGTAAGGTGGGGACCAAAAAAGCCTTCCCAGTCCCCCAGCATCTGCCTTTCTCACTCCATCCTTGGAGAGTGCAAGAGAGCCTCCTAGATATCCCCAGGGCAGATTGTGATTTTGTTTGGGGGTGAAAGGGATATGTCCCACATTGGGAATACCTTTATAATGAAAAAATAAACAAACAAAAAGCTTTTAAATTTTAATCTTCGGGGGGGAGGGTCATAAAAAATATAGTAGACCTGGGAGCATTTTAAGGGTAGTTAGCAGGAAAGTAGGGTGACCACTTTATAATCTTAGTGCAAGGTAACTAAGATAGTGACATAGTATTGGAAAGTAGAATTGGTAGAATCACCTGAATCCTAACTGGACTTTGAGGGTGAATAGTTAGATTTTGACATTTTTGGAAGGTGATGTTATTAACCCATAAGTAGTAGAAGAGGACAGGATTTTTTTTCAAGTGGGACGTATAATGAGGTTTTGAGATAATGAAATTGAGTTGCTGATAGAATACCTATGTGAGCATTCAGTAGGTATGTGGGGTTTAGGTTTGCTGATAACTCAAAAAATATTTAGGTCTAGGAATGTAGACTTAGGTGTCACTTTTTAGTGAAAGGTGTCACTTTTTAGTGAGTGGAAGGAGAGGTGATTGCTGAGAAAGACAATATGGTATGAATAGAGAAGAACTACGAGAGAACCATGGAAAATGTCTACATTTTAAGACTTGAAGCAAAAGTAAGGGAACCTGAAGCAGAGAAGGAACATCTGGAAAAGAAGCAAAAGTTGAAGTGCAGTGTCCTGAAAGCAAGGGGGAGGGAAGGTTTAACAATATGATTGAAAAAATTATCAAGATCCAGGAAAAGGACTTAAAGTGAGAAAGTAGGATGATATTGTAATCTTCTAAAAACAACGAAATTATCTAGGAGTGAAATATTTTAAAGTGAAGTTCTTGATCCCACATAAAGTGGGATTGAGAAATAAATGATAAGTGGGAAGAATAGAGGCCATCAGCATAGCATTACACTTAGGGTACATTTGGCACTAAAGAAGAAACATGAGTTGTGAAAAGTTGAGGGAACACTTGTATGGAATTGAGGAAACTTGATCTTAGAGAAATATTTGTAGACAAAACCCTAAAAAGAGACCAGAGGCAGGACTCAAATAATTATTCATGGTAAACTGTTTGTTTTTTTATTTTTTTAATTTACTCGTTTTTACCCTGAGATAAAGAGGTAGCTAGTAAGAGAAATTGAGGAAATCTCCACTGGGAGAACTGCCTTATCAGTTAAGGCTATCACAATTAGTGTGCAAGGCTGACTGCAGATCAGGTAGAGGCTTAGTTCTTCCATGAATAGAACCGTGGTTTTCTGGAGTTTAATATTAATTTTTATTTCTCTCCCTTGGGCAGGAACTAAAACATTTGATCTTGGAGGCAGCAGATGGCTTTCTGTTTATTGTCTCCTGTGAGACAGGCCGAGTGGTGTATGTCTCTGACTCAGTGACCCCTGTTTTGAACCAGCCACAGTCTGAGTGGTTTGGCAGCACACTGTATGATCAGGTGCACCCAGATGATGTGGACAAACTTCGTGAGCAGCTTTCCACTTCTGAAAATGCCCTGACAGGTGAGTGCTCAGTGAAGGGGAAATTAGTAGGAAGTGTGAGTCTGGAGGGTTGTTTTAGTTCCTAAATTTGCTTGGTGACTCTAGCAACGCTTCTAGAATTTTCTCCCTTAATTAATATAATTAATTCTTTTGTTCCACCTGCAAGTTAATCTACTTTGTGACTAGATCTTTAGAAAATGTTATAGTTGTGATGCTGTACCTCTAACGCTTACATTTTTCCTCAATACTAACAGATGAAAAAGTAAAAAGCCAAACACAATTTTTTTTTCTCATTCTAAAAGAATTACTAATACTTCCATCTCTTTTGTGGGTTATTTGCCTGGTAATTTTTCTGTCCACTTGTACCAGGTTTTGTGTTAGGTTCTGTAATAACAGATTTTTATATTATTGTAGAGGAGGTCATTATTATTCACTATTATAAGGACTTTTTGGTTTCCTTGTGTTTATACTTTTTCTGGCTTCTTCTTTTTTTGTCTTTTAATTTTAATGCTATCCAGCCCTTTCACCAGAGTTTGGCTGGAGGAAGCAAGTTACATCTGCTCCTATGCAACCCTGGAGAAAGTTTAAAATAGAAACAGATTAAAACTGGTAATTAAAAATGAAACGCAAGAAATTCCATTATGGAATTTCTTTTTTTTCTCTTTTATGTTTCTATTAATTGAAGTTTTTTAGTTCTTTCCCCAAAGTTGCCCTTGGTTTCTATGTATAATAAAGGAAGGAACAGTGTTGACTTGAGGTAGATATTTTTCTCTACCATATACAATGATTTTTCAGCTTATGGCATTCATTGAGAGAGAAAAAGAGAAAATAGTAAGACACAAGACTATATATAGCCTCAGCTCTTGCTTGCCAGCTCTCGTTCCCACTCCTGTTTTCCATGCACAAAACTACACATAAAAGCATACACTGCAGACTGTTGGTCACTTCCTTCTTCAGGGCGTATTCTGGATCTGAAGACTGGAACAGTGAAGAAGGAAGGTCAACAGTCTTCCATGAGAATGTGTATGGGCTCAAGGAGATCATTTATTTGCCGCATGAGGTGAGTATCACACTGAGGATTGTGGCATAGGACATAGGCAGATCTAAGACCTGAGATTCCTGACCACAGGAGTTACTATTTTAAATCCAAATTCCAGATGGATTAAAGTTAACACTCAGATTCAGATGGATTGTAACAGAATGAAGTCTGCTTGGTAAAGGAACTAAGATTTCCTGAGCTCTTCCATAAGTGTTTTATGTCAGTTGTCTCCTTTCATCCTCCCAACTGCCCGATAAGATAGGATTTATGGTTACTATTTTGCTAAACAAAAGGCAGACTAAAAGCAATTAACTTCCCAAGGTAATGTAGAGTAGTGTCTGACACAGGATTTTATTTGTATCCATAAAACCTGTATTATTTTCCTCCTTACATCACAGGCAACATTTATGTACTCAGACTATTTCGGCATTTTGTGGCTGGTTTTTTTTTTTTTTTTTTTGTGGCTGTTTTTAGAAACAATTTATACTATACATTTCAGGGTTCTGTAAAAGGATTTCTATTCTAGGCACAGAGAAAAAGCAACATCTCATACAGTTACAAAATAACTGTAGCTTGTATAATGGAAATTGACTATATTGTTCTGGACGGATGCTCATTAGAAATGAGTAGAATATTAGGAAAGAGTTTTTTGGAAGAGGCACAAAATTGAGTATTATTGGTGGGTTTGAATTCTCACTTTGCCATTTCTATCTCAGAATTTGGGCAAATTGCAGGACTACTCTTTGCTTTTGTTTCATCATTTAAAATTGGAGGTAATGTTACTACTCACCTCATAAAGTAGTTAGGATTTGATTAATTAATACATGTAAAGATGCTTAGAGGAATTCATGACATACTAAACACTATATACATTGTTATTCGTTATGTTCATTTGAAGAAATAAGATGAAGTAGGGAACCATGTGAAAGAGTGGCCCACTCAAGATGTAGACATGGGTGATTAAAAAATGTTGTAGGAAGGATCAAGATAAATAGTAATGAAATGTAGCAAATAGATTAAGTTGTTAAAGTAGAGGGCAAAAAAGAAAGTAGCCATTAGGTCAGTTCCATGTGTGTAAGAATAAAACTGCTTTATAGGGTTTTTGCTGGGTGAAGTTTCACAAGATTTCCAGACCTTTCTTCCATCTACCTCTGAGTGGCTTGACCTGCCAACCTTGTGGTTAGCAGCTGCGCACGTTAATTGTGTGCACCATCCAGAGACTCCTATGGAAGAGCAGCAGCTAGTAAAACCAGGTCTTTTTAATTTACGAGTAAAGTTTATTAGGACATAGTCATGCCCATTTGTTTATATTTTCTCTGTCTCTTTTCCGTGCTAAAATAGCAGAGCTGACTAGTTGTAACAGATTCTCACTCAACGCTGAAAATATTTACTATTTGACCCTTTATACCGAAAAATTGCCACCTTTGGATGTACAAATTCAATAGGAAAACGTGGCCACAGGAGCAGTTCTACTCTGTCCTATAGGGTCTCTATGAGTCAGCATTGATTTGGTGGCAATGAAAGTGATGCCTCCAGGGGGATAATGTACTATAACATAAAACAACAATGATGTCTCTAAGGTATATCAGAGACATATAAACCTTAGATGCATGAATAGCTTTTGGCCTTTAACTAAATTCTAGCCTCAGTCTAATCGTTCTTATAGCATATCCCTCTTGATGCTTGACCTCATGAAGAAACCACTGAAGATATGAGTGCTACAGCAAAATGTGGTGAAGAAACAAGATGTGCCAGGCTATAAGAAAGAATAACGTCTAGGGTCTTAAAGGGCTGTTTTCAAACAAGCAGCCATCTAAGTGAGGCATCAACTAAATTCACATGAGATAAGCATGCCAGCCTGTGTGATCCAAGGATTGCGTATTAGTCCGGATAGATAGAGAAATAAATCCAGAGACACTCATACGTGTATAAGAAAGAGCTTTATATACAAGAACAATTGAATATTGAGATAACAGCCCAGTTCAGATCAAGTCCATAAGTCTGATATTAGCCCACATGTCCGATACCAGTCTATAAATTCCTCTTCAGACTCACAAAACACATGCATTGACGCTGAATGCAGGAAGATCACAGGCCAGTGGGTGGAAATTTTTGTGAATCCAGTGGTGGCGTAAGCATGTCAGCGCTGGCGTGAGTCTCCACATGGCTCCTTCAGCTCCAGGGTTCTTGTGGAGTTCCATGTGTCTTGTCATCAGGAGCACGAAGCAGAGAGAGTGTGTGTTCTGCCTCCAGTGAGCTATTTATCTTCATAGCGTCTCCAAATGAGGTCATCAAGCAGCAACCTGATTGACAGGCTCAACTCCACCCCTTCATTCTTAAAGTCCCAAGTTGACACTAGACTGCGTAACTACCACAGATTGTAAATAATGTAATCCAAATCTATAGGAGGGAATGACAACAGAGCTTAAATTGTGAACACCCAGTTTGCAGAAGGCTAGACTATAGATGCAGTGGAAGCCCAAAATCCATTTCCAAGACCCACACATAGATTAAGCATCTGGTGAAGCCTCAGTGATTATAGTTGAAGGAGGTAAATAAATAGCCTGTTATCAGATTTTGGCATATTTAGTTAGGTCAATATATATTATCTTGTCATTTGATCTCCCTTTTGACCCATTTTAAAGCTGTTTCAGTTTTGTTTTTTAAGTGAAGGGGAAATACACATGGATTAAACCCCTAGTGTATATCCTCTGACCGTGGACCAGGAATGAATAGCTGTGCTAACATGTAGAGTGCACTGGAAAATGGATTGTTACAGATGCAGTTAGTCAAAATTTTATCACCCTATCATTTGATCTTCCTTATGATCCATTAAAATTTGTTTTAGTTTTTAATATTTTTTACTTCTTTGCCATTGAGATTTTTATCTGTTTTACTTTGTTATTCTTCTTAGTCGTTTGTTTTTTAATGTTTTTCTGTATATGAAATCAAGTACTGGTAAATCTACAGAGATAGTACTGGGTTAATGGGTCTAGCAGGAGAGGTTAGGGAAAAATGGGGAGTTATTAGTGATGAGTATGAGAGTGAAGAAAAATATTTTAAAACTGATTGTGGTAATGATTGTACAACTGTACTTGATGTGATTGAATCATCAAATTGCATGATATGTAAATTTTATGCCAATAAAACTTGTGAAAAATGAAATAAAGTACCACTCCTCAAAAAAGAAAGGAAAAAAAACATGGCAGTCTCCTTCCATAATGAATAAAGCCATGGAAACTCTACAGGCCAATTTTACTGTTCTATCCGTTGGAATTGACTCAACAACAGTGGGTTTGGTTTGGTCCGATACAAATAAATTCTTTGCATTTGACTATCATATGGAGCATTTTGACTTTAGATTTTAAGAAATGCCATGCCTGACTTACCTTTGGGAGGAGCCCTGGTGGCCTACTGGATTACACTTTGGCCTGCTAACTGCATGGTCAGCAGTTGGAAACCACCAGCCTCTCCATGGGAAAAAGCTGAGATTTTCTATTCCTCTAAGGATTTACACCCTCAGAAAATCACAGGGGCAGTTCTCCTCTGTCCTGGAGGGTCACTAGGAGTTGAAATGGACTGGATGGCAGTGAGTTTAGATAGACTTACCTTTATTCTTCCTTTTTAGAAATGTTGTTACCAGTTTTGGAGGGCCTAGTTGTATCCGGTGCCTGATACCTGTCTGCTTACTAATACAGTTTTGAGCTGCCTAATTGCTTTAAATCTATCTGCTTATTAAAACAGGTGCGGTAATAGCTCTGTGGACCCAGTCTCCATGAATAGACTGAGCTTTGTGAGGAACAGATGCAGGTGAGGGCCTAAGAAGTGAAAACCAAACGAATAGCCAAGTCCCTATAGAGGTTATTTCTTTTTTCACCCAACTTCCCACAGTTCTCCCTTCAGCAGTCCTCACTCTTACGTTTCCCTTCCTAGTTACTCTTTACATTTCATATTGACATTTTCCTGAACTTCTAAAGCAGTGTTTCCCAGAGTGGGTGACACCATTCCCTGGGGGGTGGGAGGCAGAAGTGTACTGGACTGGTCCAGAGAGGCTGTCAAGACAGATAATTTGTAATTTATACTGGATTATGAGCTATAGTACAAAATTGCTGAGGCAGATGCTGAGTTAATTTTCTTTTCTTTTTTTTCCTGACTCGGTTGGTAGGTCAAATAATTTTGAGAACCTATCGTCTAAATCTTCTCTTGTTCATCTTTTTCAAGAAAGTACCCTTCACATTTTTTCTCCTACTATAGTAATTTTTAGTTGCTTTACTTTGACAAGATTAAAAAATATGTTCATATGAATGTGAGGAATATCTAAACCCTGGCATCCAAGCTTCTAAGCACTTTAGAACCTAAAGTTAAAGGTGCTAAGCCATCATTGTCCTTTAGAAGCTTTACTAGGCGGGATTGTCTCTTGACACCTGTGATTCTTCTAGGAATGGACTTGGCTCTGTGAAAGATGGAGAACCTCACTTCGTGGTGGTCCACTGCACAGGCTACATCAAGGCCTGGCCCCCAGCAGGTAGGAAAGTTGGATAGTGATTTTTCTTGATTCTTCAAATTCCTCAAAAATCCCAAGAATATGAGGGCAGCATTTATTATTTACTTTGCACCTGCAATGTTTTGATACAAGCTGTAAGAAAATTCCTTACTTTTCACTTAGGGCACTTACTTATATTCGAGTTGAGGCCTTGGCTTACTCGGACTTGGAAAATGACTCAATACTGATGGCATCATAGAATGAGTTTTTAAATGTCGAACTTCATAAGAAAGTATACTGACTACCTGTATGTTCTAAGTACTTATGAGCAAAGAAGCAGTTGTCATTAAAAGTAGTTGCAAGACATTGAGGGAGAAGAGAAAAAAATGACTGGATAACTTACAAAGGGAAAATTCTGTGCAAAAACGTTTAAGTTGAGTTGTGAGCGGCTCAGTGCATAATGCCCCGCACCACCAGAACTCCTGCGGAAGAGCATGGACCTAGGTGGAGAATATTTCCAGAAACTATAGCTTCACATTTTGATATTTCTTTTTATGCTAAATAATTTTTACAGCAATACTTTTTGACTTACCCTCATACATCTCATATAGAGTTAATATAAGGATGAAATTGAATATAAGAAAAACCCTCAGCCCGTTTGCCAGACCTATGGTAGACAGCCAATAAATGATAGTATTTTAGAAAAATAAAGATACAAGTATTTAAGAAAAAAAGGAATAATGACATTTGAACTTTTTAGTCTATGTGCTATATAAATCAAACATTTGAAGTAGGTTTGGTCTTTAGTACTACTGTGTAGCTCTCAAAGAGTTCTTTTTCTGGGTAAGAAGAAAAGGAGGAAATACAGTCTTCTTTCCTTTCCATATAGAACATCAACACTCCTTCTCTTTTACAAGGGGTATAAATAACTTCTGATGTTTAGTATAATTTCATTTTTTGTTATTATTTGTTTAATTTAAAACCACAGGTGGGCAAAATGTTTGTTCTCTGCCTGTGTGGGATTGTGGAATGATTATCTGCCTGTGTTTGGTTTGGTCAGCATACCTTAGGTGGGGTCTATACTGTGTTGTTTACTGCAATTAATGCATTGAAATATATGAAATTGTTGAGTGATGTGATGGTAGTGGTGGTCAGGGTGTGAAAGGATTTAGAATGATACTTGCATGTAGTATATTCTATCTATATAGTTATTTGTCATAATTCATCACTTTGTTGCTTTATACCTGCCCTCTTTATGCTTAAATGTATTTACCTGCCTGACTTTTGAAGGTATCATCCCTGTTAAATCTCTTAATCTCATTTTTCTGAAGGCGTTTCCCTCCCAGATGATGACCCTGAGGCTGGCCAGGGGAGCAAGTTTTGCCTAGTGGCCATTGGCAGACTGCAGGCAAGTATGATGACTTTTCCACGTCTGTACTCCTTTTCAGTTACAGACATCTCTATCAGAACTTGTTCATGTTCATTTTCTTTACCTACTTTTCTCTGAATACACAAGGAGCACTGGTGGGTAAGTGTTGCTATGCTAACTACAAGGTTAGCAGTTCAAACCACAACTCCTCCATGAAAGAGATGAGTCTGTCTTCCTGCATAAAGATTTATAGCTGTGGAGACCTTAATGTAGGGTCACTCACTCTGAGTTGGAGACAACTGGATGACAATGGGCTGAGGTTTTTTGGTTTTTGTTTTCCTCTGAATACAAAAGAGGAATCCCGTAAAACCCCACCATTTTAAAGGAATATGACATTCACGGTTAAGGTTGCCTGGAGGAAAGAAGATTTTCTTCATGTTTTTTTAACCTTTATAGTACTAACTTTCTATTCATTTCCTTTGTGCCTATTTTGAAAAGAAAGTTCTTTTCTTTTACCATTACATTGAACTCTCGTTTATCGCGGTTAATCGGTTCTAGACCCTACCGTGATAAATGAAATTCCGCGAAGTAGGATACCTTATTTGTAAATCAAATATTTTCGTAGTTAGAGCATAGAGGACATGAAAAAACACCCTTTAGTCACCATTACACTTGTATTACCCAATTTATTAAATGAAAAAGGGAAAATACAGTAAAACATTTTGGACGTTACAATTATCATTTATTATTTATTATATTATTTATGGCATCTAGTTTACAGTATTACATATTTCACATACAGTATTATACATAGTTCTTACAAATACTGTAATCAATGGCGTGCAACCTCCACGATTTTCTTGCCATCTTTGATCATATCCAAAAGTTTTACCTTTTCCTGGATGGTGAGCATCATCCTCTGGTGCTTATTTTTATTGTCAGAGGCTTAGAAGAAGCAGCTCATTTAGGAGCCATCATAGGGCTTAGATAAAATTTCTTAAAAATCGCAAACAATTACAGTACACTGTACAAAAGCAAAAATGCATCTGATACGTAACTCCGATACGTAGTGATGCAGACAGAAGCGTGTACAGTATGAGCCAATCAGTGGCAGTAATGACAGAGCATGCGCTGTTACGCAAAAACCGCGATAGAGTGAAGCCGCGGAAGTCGAAGCGCGAAGTGGCGAGGGTTCACTGCATATGGCTAATAATAGAGAAGTGAAATTTTTTTTTTCTTCTCATGAAAACAGTTAAACTTCGTGATCCAAAATCAGTGGCAAGGAGGGTGTAAGAGGCCTGGTAGGGCTTGATCAAGGGCAATGTAACTGAGAGGAATTACTGAAACCCAAATGAAGGCTTAGCATGATAGTGGGACAAGAGGAAAGTAAAAGGAAATAGAGGAAAGAACTGGGAGGCAAAGGGCATTTATACAGGCTTAAATACAGGCATATATATATGGAAATAGATCTATGTGCATATATTTATATGTTTAGTATTAAGGTAGCAGATGGACATTGGACCTCCACTCAAGTACTCCCTCAATGCAAGAATACTTTCTTCTATTAAATTGGCATTCTATGATGTCCACCTTCCGGACACAACCTCTGAAGACAAAGTGGGTGCATAAGCAAGTGTGGTGAAGAAAGCTGATGGAGCCCAGCTATCAAAAGATATAGTGTCTGGGGTCTTAAAGGCTTGAAGGTAACAAATGTCATCTAGCTTGGAAGCAACAAAGCCTACATGGAAGAAGCACACCAGCCTGTGTGATCATGAAATGTTGAAGGGATCAGGTATCAAAGAACAAAAAATAATATCATTGTGAATGAGGGGGAGTGCAAAGTGGGGACCCAAATCCATCTGTAGACAACTGGACATCCTCTTACAGAAGGGTCTCGGGGAGGAGATGAGCCAGTCAGGGTGCAGTGTAGCAACAATGAAACATACGACTTTCCTCTAGTTTTCTAATGCTTCCTCTCCCCCACTATCATGATCCCAATTCTACCTTATACATCCGGCTAGACCAGAAGATGTACACTAGTACAAATAGGAACTGGAAACACAGGACAGATGAACACCTTAGGACCAGTGGTGAGAGTGGTGGATGATACCGGGAGGGTTGAGGGAAGTTGGCGTAGAAAGGGGGAACCGATCACAGGGATCTACATATAACCCCCTCCCTCGGGGTCGTACAACAGAAGAGCAGGTGAAGGGAGACGTTGGACAGTGTAAGACATGACAAAATAATTTATAAATTATCAAGGGCTCGTGAGGGAGGGACAGTAAGGAAGGAGGGGAAAAAATGAGCTGATACCAAGGGCTCAAGTAGAAAGAAAATGTTTTGAGAAAGATGATGGCAACAAATGTACAAATGTGCTTGACACAATAGATGGATGGATGGATTGTGATAAGAGTTGTACGAACCCCCAATAAAATAAAAAAGAAAGAAAATAGTTCTTGGTTACTTTAGATTATAAATTTTCAATTTGCATAATGGACATAGCCTAGCCAGATAAAAGTACATGAAGGTTTGGATTGAATTAATTTTTTTCTTTTTTTTTACTGACTTGGTGAAGAGTATGTGTATGAAGGGAGCTTCTTGATCTTGTTTTCTATTTAATTGTAGTTGTCATTTTTTTCCTGTCTGAACTGTTCAAGGTCAGGAATTCCTTAAACTGGGAGCCTTATCTCATTTTCTTTTTTTCACTCTCAGGTAACCAGTTCTCCCAACTGTACAGACATGAGTAACATTTGTCAACCTACAGAGTTTATTTCCAGACACAACATAGAAGGAATCTTCACTTTTGTGGATCACCGCTGTGTGGCTACTGTTGGCTACCAGCCACAGGTGAGGAGCTGATGTTGTTGGACCAGTGGTACTTGGCTCTCTGTTTTCCATGGGCTCTGCTGAGATTGTCCAGTCATATAAATCCAGATATAGCCAAAGCATATTGGCACTAGCTCAGAAAAAGAGACAATCCCATTCGGTCAGTAGCTAGATTTGTTCTCTGGCCCTATCAGGGCTAGAATCCTATCTGGAGAAATAAGACTTTTAAATCATGTAGGAAAAACATATATGACTTTTAAGTTTTTAGTTTGTGTTATTTATATTAATATAGATTAATGCAGAAGTGCTTTTTAAAAAAATCATTTAATGGGGGCTTGTACAGTTCTTATCACAATCCATACATACATCCATTTGTCAAGCACATGTGTACATTTCAGAAGTGCTTTTTAAAATTAATTATATGCTATGGTCCTTATATAATCACCAAGAAGAATAATAACGCATAAAATACGTAAATTTAACACCATTTGGTATCATTTAATAAGATGAGGCTTTCTGGTTCTGTAAGATTTACAGCCTCCTCCTGCTTCATTGGCCTCTAGCTACTTGAGTCTGAAGAGGGTTTGGGGTACCATTAAGCCATAGACTTGATTTGTACTTGGCTGGAATACTTTGATATAAAATCACTTCTTGATATAACAATTTTTTTGTACACTAAAAAAAGTATAGCCTCCTGGGTTTTGGCACTAAAAAAAACTAAACAAAACAAGAAGTATAGCCTGAAACCCAAAGGAAAGTTGTACTCTGTCTCATAGGTCACTCGATGGCAGTCATTACGCTAGGTTAGTATAATTTGTTTTAAATTTCTCATGTAATAATCCAGATAATTATACCAAAGTTGAGGTATAAATAATTATACAAACCTTTAGCCAGTGCTTACTTCCGGCTCTGAGTATTCAAAGAGATCTTAAAGAAATTTTGGGGATTTACACTATGAAAAAAACTCTTACAAATCTATTATTAATCAAGATAGTGTAAGGATAGACATATAAACCAAAATTGAACAGAATAGCCTGAACCATCTATTTACACCTTCATGATCAATTGATTTTCTACAAATATTCCGAGACAATTCACTGGGAAGTCTTCCCAACAAATGGTCTTGGAATAATTGAATAACCGTATCACCACCCCACCCCACCCAGTAAACAATACAAAACTCACTGCTGTTGTGTCGATGCCAAGTTATAGCAATCTTGTAGGACCGAGTAGAACTGCCCCTGTGAGTTTCCAAGACTGATTCTTTATGGGAGTAAAAAGCCCTGTCTTTTTCCCACAGAGAGGCTGGTGGTTTCAAGCTTTTGACTTCTCAAGTCACGGCCCAACATTTAACCACGTCGCCACCAGTGCTCCCATTGAGACCTTTACCTTATACTGTGTAGAACAATTAACCTGAAGAAGTAAATATAAGAGCTCAAACTATAAAATTTCTAGGAGCAAGTCATTTTACCTTGAGTTAGGCAAAGATCTCTTTGTATCTCACTAAAAGCATAATTCACAAATGAAAAATTGATAAATTGGACTTTAGCAGAACTAAAATTTACTCTTAAAGGGAAATAATTCCTGGCTATCATCACTGACTACCCTGACTGAGGTCACAGTAGATGGTCCCAGGTAGAATGGGGTATTGTATAATTTCTACCACAATCAGTTTCAAAACATTCCCTTTCTTCTTGAGCTCCTTGATATCAGCTTCCCTTTATCTCCCACCTCCCCTTTCATCAGCCCTAGGAACCCTTATTCTACTCATTGCCTCTATGGGGCAATCAATCTAAGGTTCTATAAACCAAAAAACAGGAAAACATAACAAAAATTCACAAGGACAACCCACAATGACAAAACACATCTGAGATAAACTGCAATTGAGAAAGGAAAACAACACAGAAAAAAAAGAGGAAAAACAGAAAATGTTGAAAACCAGATCAGGCCCAACGTGTACAGAGTGGGGAATCCAGTGACAAGGACCAGTGTTTACTTAAAAACCATCAGTATGAGACCAAATGGTCAAAAATTACCAAATACAAAGATGAGAGGATAATGGGCCAAGGAATCTATAGAGTATTGGAAAGGGAATAAACTGAACACAATTATCAAGGCTGTTGATGTATTGTGATAAATGTAACTAATGTCACTAAACAAATTATGTAGAAATTGTCAAATAAGGGGCCTAACTTGCTATGTAAATTTTTACCAAAAATAAAATGTTATTTATATAAACAAAAAAGACATCATTCAAAAAATTAAAAGACCAGCCACAAACTGGGGATTTTGATTTGCAATATTCAGAATATATAATGGACTCTTTTTTTCTCCTTTTTAAAAATCGTTTTATTAGGGGCTCATACAAATCTTACCACAATCCATACATACATTAAT